TCAAGCTCATTTTACAGTTCTCTTTATTCATTGCTTCTCTGAATTAACTATTGCTCAGAAAAGTGTCATAGCTCTGGGTTACTCCAAGTCGGTCTCATCGACCCCAAACCGGCCGCGCTACCACTAGTAGTAATGATCTTCTGTGTATCCAGCTCCTCTTGCACTCCTGCCCAGCCTGACCCTCCCCTGGGGCAGTTTCCAGCCGTTCCCTCTTGTTCTGTCCCTGATCCCCTGGGAGCAGAGCCCAGCCCCAGCCTCTCCACAATGTCCTTTACAGGGCTGATGTACACGAAGCTCTCAAGAATAAAGAAGCACACTCACTGCTCGTCGTTACCACGTGCAGGCCCTCACTCACCATCCGAGTACCCAACCAATAATACAAACTAATACAGGCAACCAGAATAAAGTTAGAGAAATCAAGTAGGTAGGCTTATTTTAGTACTACTGCCTTGCTAATGCCCCCAAAACCAGCACAATATAAAAAAAAATTGATCTTTGGGGAAATGGTAAGTAGCACAGAATTAAGACAACACGCAAAATCATGACTTCACTGAATGAAATGAGATTTTTGTCATTAACTGCAATGAAGCCAGTGTTTCAAAAGTGTCTTGACAACAACTTCGGTACATGTTTCTTAGATGCCTTCTCTCTAATGGAATTAAATGGTTCCCAAGATAAGCTTTCCTCCATTCCCACTGTAATCAGTGTTGTATTTGCTATGGTTTTCAGTGAGAGCCCAATTGGGCCCTAGGCTCGGAAATAAAAATCATCTTGAAGTAAATGGGTTGCTGTGTATCTGACCTCTTCTCTCATTGGTGTGAACACAGCGCGGGGACGAAACCTCCCATCATTGCTGCTATTTGTGTGAAGAGAGGTGGTTGGGTTTTTTTCCTACCAGAAGATTAATAGGTAGCAAGTTCAATATCGTTAGGTATTTAGTTTTCCTTAATTGTTTCAGGAACTCATCTACAGAGAGCAATGCATCACATCTGGAGGTAGCAATTTACCTTTCAGAAATCAACAAAATCTGCACGTTCCTCCTGGGTTTAGCAAACGGGAGCTCAGGCAGCTACTGCCGCTCCTCCAGTCCCTCGGATAACCCCGGGCTTCAGGGGGTTCTCCGCAACCCGCCGTATCACCACCAGCACTGCCTTTGGAATTCACCAAGTTTTCTTCCGTATCTTCTCTCCAGATAAGCTAATCTTTCTCAATGCGTGTGAAAGCACATCCTAGAGATGCTGCAGTAGGCTTGTAGCTTTTAATTTTCTTTTAAGCCTGAAGGTTCATCCTTGTTAATAATTTGGTGGATCCTGATAGTTCTGCAGCCTGGAGAACAGACAACAGATGGTCCAACCTCGGCATTAAGCATTATTCCTTCCGTACCTTTCTGGAATTTGAGAGATTCTTATTTTAGAAATATTTTTTTCTCCTTCCTGTCTGGGCACTGGTCATCTGTCTCATCCACTTTTCCATTATACTTCAAGAAAGCAAATGAGAAAGAAAGAAAGTAGAAAGAAAGACCCTATCGGATGGAATTGGAATTTTTAGTATTTGCACTTTTATTGTAATGTATTCCTCAAATCTTCATGAGTGAAACCACAGGAAGGGCAATGGGGTAGGTAGGGTTTTCTCCATCGGTTCCTCATTGACCCTCCACAACCACAGGGCACCACCACGTAGATACAATTAAGGATCCATCCAGAGAGCCAACCACGTCTGTACCAACTGGATTCTGGGGAAACTCCAGAATTGGTCCACTGAAGTGTTGTCATTCAGGAAAAAAAAAAAAATAAAAAAGGTATTACCTCTCATACTACAACCACAGCCATTGGCTTGTTTAGTGGAATTAAAGTTGGGTTTTTGTCGGTATCTTGACAGGCCGTATTCCCTGGCACGGGGGACAGGCTCAGCATCCTCCCAGCTTGCACTGCTCTTTTTTTCTCTTTTTCCCATGAAACGAAGGAGCTCGTGGAGCACCTGGAGCTGGCTGGCACTTCCAGGTTTGTCCTCTCCCAGAAGAAGAGTCTGGGGAGCAGGAGCGGCGCGTGGACTCCTACCGCGGGTGGCTGGTGCTGCAGGAGAAGAGGCGGCGGGAACCGGGCTGCCCGTTTCTGTGGGCAACCGCCCTCGCTAGGGCAAGTGCCCGCCAGGTCCCCACGAGGGGTCTCAGCCGGCGGCTGATCTGCCACTTGGACGAGAGAGAGGCCAGGCTGGGTGCAGGGCTGGGTGGGGACCCGTCAGCGTCCCCCGGGGGACTGATCCGCGCTGCCCCGACCCTCCACGCTCCCAGCACCAACATCACACCCAGTCGTTTCCGTATCACTCCACACTGGGAGTATCTGGAAGCAGGTCACTCCCTACTACCACTGAGGGCCTCCGCCAAGCACCAGTTCACCTTGGCTGGGACACAGAGCTGAGGATGCTGAAGAAAAAAATTAACTATTTACCTGAGACTGTCTTCTCCAGCCTAGGGCTGCACCTCTGTCCTTAGTTTCTAAGACTGACTTTTGCTGACTGACTGACATCTGTGCCCTGCAGATATTCACAGACACGGGCGTGCGCAGAGGCCGCAGTACGAGTCGCATTAAGACTCCAAACACAAGGCACACTGAGAGCACACAACTTGTTTAGGTGTAATGCCAGTTTGAACTCGGAAACAATTTCTAACTGACTTGGCAGCATCGTGAGATCACTCAAACACGGCGAGACTGAAAGAAAAGCTAGAAGCAAAATGCAGCAAGGAAAAGGTATTTTTTCAGACGAAACGTGAAACGGCAGCAGGCCAGGAGAGCCTCAGAATGGGATCTCCAGGGGCTGGAGCTGCAGAGGACCTGAAAGGTCCTACCTGAAAGGAGGTTGCAGAGAACTGGGGATGAGTCTCTTTAACCAAGTAATAAGTGAAAGGCCCCGAGGGAATGGCCTCAAGCTGCCCAGGGCAGGGTCAGGCTGGCTCTGAGGAAGGATTTCTGTGCAGAAGGGGCTGTTGGGCGTTGGAATGGGCTGCCCAGGGCAGGGGGGAGTCCCCGGGATCCCTGGAGGGGTTGAAGAGTCGGGCTGAGCCAGCGCTGAGGGATCTGGGGGAGTTGGGAACGGTCAGGGGGAGGGTCCTGGTTGGGCTGGAGGAGCTGCAGGGGCTTTTCCAACCCGGATGACTCTGTAATTCTGTGAGAACACAGGTCACATCCTTGGACGGGGGCTGCTATAATCCGGGGACACCGACCCACCCTCCTAACAACAAAAAGCATTTTAAAGTGGAGAGGATAAGCTAGAAATGGTTCCTAAAATTAATTAAGAGCTGTTGCAGTTGGTTTGGATCAGGGGAGGGTTACATGTGCGATCTCCTGCACTCATCTGTGCTGGTTATTGCAAGGGAAACCAGTAAATCACTTCCTGACTCACTAAATGATGTATGTGGAGGCTCAGGGCATCACTAAGTCAACTTTCAAGGCTCGGCCTGTAACCCTTCCTCTGACATAGAATTAAACACGTGGAGTCGTGCTCTCAGCAAGGAAAGCAGCCTGCCCTTGACCCAGCTCCAAACACTCCCCCAAAACTCCACTGATGGGCGAGCGCAGGGGCCGCGCTGCCAACAGAAGGAGCCCAGCGGCCACCTGCGCAGCGACGCTTCCGCGGCTCCCCTGACCCTGCCGCCACCTCCGAGGCTTCCCCGGCGCTGCGCGGCTCCGTCTGTCCGTCCATGGGGGCCGGGGTGAGCCCACGCAGGGCTGGGGAGGGACGGGACAGGCCGGGGTGAGCCGTCCCACAGCACAGCCCCGGCCTCTGGACACTGGTGACGGCGGAGGCCGGCGCGGTGCCGGTAGACACGTGTGTTCCCTTGCTCAGAACCATTTCACTTTTCCACACCAAATGTTTTTAAAAAAGCCCAACCGACAACATGAAGAATAGGCTGTTTCTCCACATTACTAAAGAACGTGGCCTTCCAAAAAGAAAGAAGGGATCAAGTACTTCCCTTTCCTATAGGGAAATAATACGCATTTTGGCTGGGTTTTTTTTTGTTGTTATGGTTTGGATTTTTTTCCTGGCAGATTTGAACAGCATAAAGCTTTGAATATTAAGAAGGCTATTAAATTCTTTCAATAGTTTTCCAAAGTGCGAAGCTACTGCACTTAGAAAAAGGAAAGGAAGCCTAGCACTCTTCAAGAACAAAATGAATTTAAACAAGACGATTAATATTGCTACTGAAATTAAAAAGAAAGTGTCTTTAAAAAAAAAATAAAATCAATTGTCTTGAAACAAAGCACAGACTTTTGGCTATTGATAGTATTTTTAGACTCAGACTTTCTCTGGAGACTTAAAAGTATGCAAATGCAAAGTGCAGAGAGGCGCACGCACACACATGCTATACCTTTGTATTACATTGGCATTTTATTATTTAATTAAACTACTCTTATTTTTCTAGCTCACGCATGCTTCCCTTGAGACGGCTTTGCTGTTAGCCTGCTGGCCTTGACTTCCAGCCAAAAACAATTCAGAAACAAAAAGGGACAACAAATCATATTTTCACAGACATTTTTATCCCTCAATACAACCTTGTTTTCACACAACATCATACAGATTCTATGAAAACTATAATTTATTGCAGTAGCCATCCAAAGCTAGGGGCTGACACCAGCTCTGCGGTGTGTTTCCACTTGGGCAGTTTGGGGAGTTGTGCTGTTGGGCAAGGCCCCGCCACGCCGAACACTGCCGCATTGTTGCGAGGGACAATAATCAATAGTTTGCAGCAGCAGCGCTGGCTGGGGCGGCATTAGGTCAACCCAAGTCCTCCCAGTCTCCAGTAACTGTATCCTGGCTAGAAAAGCTCAGGCAGGGGCTTTAAAACCTGTGTTGGCAAATAAAGCCCGTTTCTGAGCGACGCGCAGCTGCAGCCGTCGCCGTTTAGGATGGAGCCTGGCCCTAAGATGTACAACTTGAAGCAGCAGACCTCATTTATCAGAGTATTTATCACAACCCCCTCCACTCAGCAGACTTTCACTTACCTGGTGGCAACCCTGTAAATTCGAATCTCTTCCATATGATGAGTATGAACCCCGTTCCGTTTTACCTGTTAACAAAAACAAAAAAGAGATGTATCACAGATATAAATGGATCTATACAGCATCTCCAAACGGTTTTTATGATGTTCACCACATTTTCCTAGTGCTGTTTACATATGTAAAATAGGCACCGCTGACTGCGCAATGCACGTAGGCAACGAGAAAGGGATTAACACTTCTTCATACTGAGGATGGAGATGGGAAATAAAACTTCCTAATCCCGGCTCTGCTGCCCCACACGCTTCCTGGAACTGGGATTTAACGGGCTCTGGCTGAGGGCTGAGCACCCACCCGGGCACCCTCCCCGTCGGGGCGCTGTGACGGGGCCACGGCCAGCCCCTGCCTGGCTCTCCCGACAGCCCCGGAGCCGCTGGGGACGCGGCTCCCTGCGCTCTTTCCCAGGAGCAAACTCCCCCACCATCACGCTCATGATGGAATTTACACCTGGGAAGGAGACACCCGACTGGGAATTCGCCATTTGCTACCGACGCTGGTGCTGGGACTTGAACAAGGGCCTAATAACTGCCGAGACTCTCCGCCAGCCCTAAGTACCCTTTTATTTTTTCCTTTTTTTTTTTTTTTTTTCCCCCACCCCAGGAAGCCTTTACAACTCAGATCCAACAGCCTGACTTGCAGTACCGGTTACGGTTATGCCATATTTACAAAGGAAAGAAAATAAAGGTTCTTTTAGGTTTGAATGGCCAGACTCGAGCGAAATCAAGAAGGGAAGAGGTGGTTTCTGCAAAGCATTAAGTCATGGCTGAGCAGCACCGCACCACGTGCTCCCGAGACAAAGAGCAGTCAAGAGGGCTGATACAAAACATATTGACACTAAAAGACCACCCTTATGGTGAGGATAATCACGGGAGGGGGGGAGGTATTATCTAACAAAACATCCAAGAACACAGTAAAAATCACTCATAAAATTAAAGTTTTTATTATAGGCTGGGGCATAAAACCCACAACACACAGTCCCAGTTACTAGGGACCAGATGCTCGGTTTATCTCTGCGTGTAACTCCCAGCCGTGCCGGGGACACCTCCGCACCTAGACGCCAGGTTCCCGGGGCCACGCACCCGAGCCACGGCCGCTGCGCCCGCCGAAGCCGCGAGGAAAGCTCCTTTCATTTGGAAATACCAGGGTTTTAGGAACGATGGCATCCACCGACCTCGCAAATCCGCGGGGCCCGAGCGAGGCGGCGGGTGAGGGGGTCCTGGCTGGCACCGCCACTGCCCGACGGACGCCGAGCTCTGCCGGGCTGCGTTTTCCCCGGCGCGAGCCAAATTTCATACAGAACCCACGGTGAGGCAGATCGTTAGACAAAGGACGAGCGAGTTTATTTTCATCGTTCCCAAAATGGCATGGCCACATTCTGACCCCGCAAGCCTTTCCTTTAATATGCGGCTACTAGGCGTGATTGCCCTTTAGAGGTATTAAAGTTTGACTATTGGTTTGGAATTAAAAAAAAAAAAAAATTAAAAATCACCTCTCTCCTCGTCACAATTTAAGAGCTTGCTTTTGTTTCTCGATTGGTTTTGGGTTTGCTGTTTTTCCACATAAAGTAGTTACTTATACACAGGAACCACCAAAATTTATTTGCAATTCATAGAACATTTGCACATGTAATAACTTTTGAAAACACTTGTATCTGGTTATACAAAAATGATGGATCACCCACTCCATAGCCCCCCTCAGGTTCAGAGTACTGGAAGCCTTTGCAGAAATAATTCAAGATTGAAATGACAATGAAATTTTAATCGTGAATCCCCGAGTCCAATGCCGAGATCTGCAAACAAAATGTCTTGCTGGCATGCCTGGAGTTACGTGTGCTACTTCCCATCACCCCAAGAGGGCCAGAAAGTCGATGCAAATAACGAGCGGTGAGGATGGGGGGGAAAAAAAAAATATAAATCCCAAACAGAAAAATAGGGTCGAGGGGAACCGAGTACAAGCAGCGACACAAGGTACTTTGAACACGCTCCTCGCTCCTGCCTGGGTATCAGTAATCTTCTTTTCTATCGTATCAGACACAGGCAGCCTCATCTTAATTTCAGTTGTTAAAAAATATTTATCCAGATACAAAAATAAACCCACTGCAAATTACAAGTTGTCAGGGTTAAAATCTACTTCTATTTGTGTGGGGGAGGATAAGAGAACAGCATAGACATGAATCATTCTCAGTAATTTGAGTGTTTCCATGACATCAATGGGCACTCGTCCAGGACTCTGTCGAAGTCTGTGAGGTACCAAAGCGGCACAGCAGCCAGCAGGAGATTGACTTTTTTTTTTTTTTTTTTTTTTTTTTTTTTTTTTTTTGCTCCTTGTAAAGATTTCATCTATAGCATCCACTTTTACCACCAAACAGATAGCTCTGGAGATCATGAGTGAACACATTTCATTCTGATAGTGTAAGCCTTTAACTTTATTACATTTGTTGTTGTTGTTGTTCCCACATACAGCTAGAAATCTGCCTCCTCGATTAAGAACAAATAACCGAAATTTATTAAAAAGTCAAGAAACCGTTAAAGAGATCTACATACGTAGGTTTTCACTATCAACTGTAATTATGAAATTATCCTACTTTTTGTAATGACACTTCATTTTGGGGTGGGGGGGGAGAGGAATATCTTTTGTATAAACTGTCCATTTAAAATTAGCTACAGTCTTGATGTTGATTTTCTGCTTAAAATTCACTGGCACATTTGTTTCAGATAATAAAATTTGCAAGAGTGCTGATAATATGCAAGAGTAGGCTCTTTAAGCAACTATTTGTGCTCACAAATACAAAAGCTTCTCCTGAATTTCTACGTTTACTGTACATTATGCATCATTTTCAGTCACTTGAACACCCCAGCCTGTACTGTGCATTTTCTGAGGTTTGCAAGAGCTAAAGATTCTCTCTTTTTTTTTTTTTTTTAAAAAAATGTTTTAAAAAAGAGAGAGCGTCTACAGCGATGTAGACACCCGACGCATTCACTGCGGAATTTTCGAGACAACCCTCTAGTACTAGAATGCGGCAGCCGCTGCGGATATTTTTTGGCACAAAGACAATGGTGGCAGTGCCAAGCCCCATGGCTAAAACTACTCAAAAGAGGCATAAGGGTAGCATTAATCGTTCAAGTCTTTTACTGCATGGAGTACTGTTGTCCATATTTTAAAATCTAAAAGTACCCGTTAGTAATATTTGTCGTAAGCCAGGGAAAAAAAAAAAAAAAAAAAAGGAAAAAAAAAAAAAGAGCCTGAAATAGAGATGAATAACAAATCTTGTCAGACATCTGATTAATTTTTTCTACCTAGAGGACCAAATGCTAAAATGTGCCATTTGTTACCAGCGCTCCGAACACGCAACACAATCTATACCCTTCCGTGGCTTTATGATCTGACAACAGAAACAAAGCTCCATGGAAGAAGTTGACCTACAAAGGCTGGTGAATAACTTTCAAGTGTGCACTTGTTCTTTAGGTAAGGCAGAAAAAGCATCTCCATTATTATCGGAGGCAATAACTTAGCGTGTGTGTAAATATATATATATATTCAATTAATTGACACAATGCATGCCAATCAAAGGAGAGACAAAGAGAGAACTACATGCAGCTCCTGTTTTCTGACAAACACTGAATCTCAAGGCTCTGCTCTCTAAATACCTCTAGAAAAAAAAAAAAACCCTGCTTATCTTCACTAAACTAAACCGATTGCTTCAGAAATATTTGGTTTGCATTTTTGTTTAACTGCAGAAAATATAAAAGCAGCATAGGCTTGCCAATCAATCAATAAAGGAGCCACTCGCCTTTCCATGGTGCACTTTGAAAAATTAATCAAATTAAGTAGAAAATTTAAGCAACTTCCCAAGCACAAACGCAAGTCATCTGATTCCCCACTCTCTTTTTTCCCCTGCCCTGGGAGATAGGGCACCTTGGCTTTTTTTTTTCTGGTAGGCAGAATGAGAGGCATGAGGCAACTCTTTCCATCTGCAGAGAAAAGGAAGTGAAGCTATTTCTATAAATGACTCCAATTCAATGTTTACACTGATTTCGTGTTTGACATATTTTTTGAGAGATGAGTTCGACCAGAACATTCTAATTCAGGTTTCCGCTGCCCTACATTTGGGGCTTACTTCTTGGTTAGACTGAAGAAGGGAAACCTGTCCTGGGAGGGGGGGAAGGCGGGGGGGGGGGGGA